CTGCGCCATCTCAAAGCAACTACCCCTCTGCCGCGGCGCCATCCACCGGAAACGGACCCAACCTCACGAGCACTAATACTCTGAGTCGGCCACTCGCGGTCTACAGATTCGTGTTCTTCATAAGCTAAGCCTGACCCGTAGCTTCTAATCCAGCCTGGTCAAACAACAGCGGCGGCGCATCCCTTTCCCGCTATTTTAAAACTGGGTCCGGTCTCTCCCATGCCTTTGATATAACAGAACTTGCGGCGGCTGGCTGTGCCTACAGTCTGACCGCGCGGAGCAATAGCTGGCGTCTGTTACTCACCGCATCGGCCCCCTCCGGGTAACTAGGTGCTCCGCCATTCTGGTGTCCTCCTTCGTCCCGCTGTTGGAGGATGTCCTCCAAGCCTTCTTGGCCTCCGCCGCGCGATTGCTCGCGCTCTGCCATCACTTCGCTGTTACTGGCGACCGATATGCCAGCAACGTCAAATCGCCTTATCTACTTTACTATTGAGCTGGGTCCCGAATACAAAGTAAGTCACTATTTAAACAATTCAAAATCCCCAACAGACGACGTTCTGACTTGCGCTTGCTTGCACGGTTGACTGGCGAACTAGCGTTGTCTGGATTCAGCGCTTTGTTCCCAGCTAATCTTTGTAACGCACTACCGTATCAGTCACTGTCCTCTGGCCAATTCCGGTCTGCTCCTCCCGCGCCGCACTTGCCGTACTACACTACAGGACGAGCACTTAATCAACATGCATTTACAAATTGGCATCCCAACATCCCAACTTGAAACGGAGCCCATTCCTTTTCAGTTGGTTTCGATTAAGGCGATCCTGCCTATACGCTTCCTTGCTGGGCATCTTCGTCTCGTCTTCTTGGCGTCGTCCTCATCCTCGTCAACATGGCCCTCGTCCCTTCGGCGTCCCCCATCAACCGCGACCGCTCCCGTTCAGAATACGTCCGCGCTTCTCCCTTCGCAGCCCTCGACCCCGTTCCCATCGCCCCCTATAATATCGTGACCAGAAGTAATCACGTTGTACAGTTGCCCATTGCGGTCAAATTTGACAAGCCACGTCCTGGCAAGGCTAGCTCGTAACGAATTAACATGCTTAACGAAGTACCAAATTATCCGCCCACGAAAGCGAAGAGTGACTGTTATGCTCCGGCTGCCTGGTTTGGCTGCCTGATTTGGCTGCCTAATTGTCGTCCGCCGCTACTGCCCAATGTGACATCAGCTGAAAGCTACATCGCTATGTTATTCAGCAGCAAGGAGGATTTTACAGGAGGAATGCCGACGGGACGTCGTCACCCAGCAACAGGAAATGACTAAAATGTTTATGTATTAAGGCGCGATGAAATAGGTGATTTTGGAGCTTGCTTGCCTACTAGCGTGAAAGATGTTCATAAGATTACTTTCGGCAGAGACAGTTACCTGCGTAGTCCTCTTAGCTTTCCGTTCCTAATGCTATGGATTGATTGCAACAACGGTGGGTTCCATCTTCGCTATCGGGCGAATAATGCTCTTCATCGGTGCACACCGTGGCGAGCGAGCATTTCATTAAGTTGCTGTAATTATCGGCCATATATGGGGTGACAGGGTTGACAATTATGCGACTTGAGGGTGGCAAGCGCGCGATACAGCATGCATCCATCCATATCTGTAACAACCACACACACATTCATCCATGCGCTTTTGGCTGTCTAGATGACTTGCGTTGTCTCATTAGGGTGGGAATTTAGTTCGTCTCATGTTCGTCTCATGTGCAATAATAATGCACGGCCAGCTGGCCCGCTGGCTCTACTCTTCGTGAATCTGGAGCCCACTGTAACCACCACACACGCAACCGGCAAATTGGACACATCATAGCGAGCGAGGCTAATACTTTACACGAACAGAGGTGTAGGTTTTTGGTGGCATGCGTGGTTAAGCAGGGATTTAAGCAATGTCGCAGATGAGAAGCTTTTTCCTGAGTACGAGCATACCTAACAGCGAGAACGATTTCCGCCTGGGAATTATATATAGTTCTAGTCTTAGCTTTCCGCCGTGGTCTCCTCCATTCCAACCTCCCACCCTGGGGCGAAAGCTTTGCATTCGTGCATGTGACGAGAGAGCAATTCATTGGGACAATCACACTCCCAGCTGTGCTACCGTTGTCGCATTAAACTGTCAAGGTCGTTGCAACTAACCGTTGTGAGGCGTGTGCTCACGCCACGGCTGAGCAGAAGTATCTGACTCTGTTTGCCAAACTGTTAATTAGCGCTGAGCCACATAATTGTTAGTATTAACTCAAGGGAATTAAAGCGAGCATGGCGGCGGACGTTGGTGACCAGGAGGCGCCGTTAGTTAACGACGGCGTCAGCAGCAGCGACGAGCACGAGCACTATATCCATAGAGCTCCATGGCTGAGGGCGTTTATTTTGGGAGCGAACGACGGCCTGGTGAGTAGTGTATGTTGATGCGGCGGATGGCCGATTATCACATCAACGGCTTGAGGTGTCAAAGGCATCACCGCGCGCAAAGCCATTACAGCTCCTAGTTGCAAACCAAGCAAACCCTGTGGGCGTCATTGCGTATTTGGCGGCCATTTGCCATCTTGCTTGCGTTGTAGATGCCTAAGTTGCGCTGATGGAAAAGGTCATAAAATGCGTAAAATACCGTCAAATAATGATTGGCAAGCAAATTTTATGTCATGGCGACGCTTCTACTGTGGAAATTCTACAACTCACAGCAATTGCACCCCTGCACCCAGCCGGTCACCAACCAACTTTCCCTGTTGATGTCAAGCGCCTGACCAAATTTTTCACGCACGGAAATCTGCCACATCTGCGCCCAAAGCCATGGCCATCTGCGCTCGTTGCTTTGGACGCACACGGTGGACACCGCATTTCCCTCGCCCCTCTTCCCCCAACCTGTCTTCCTCCACCCCGCCTCCCTCAACCCCCTCCCCCATCTCACAAATCCTCCCCCCGATCTCCCCTCTTCCTCAAACCACCTTCCCCCACAAAAGACACCTTCTCGCACCTCACGCCTCAATCCCCCCCCACCCCCGACATCCCCACGCACATCTACAAAAGCCAGCACCTCCGATTCAGCCCAACCACCTGCATGTACGAGCATGCGGCGGTTTTGTGTAACGAATTCATTTCCGAATTCACCGCTGCCTCCTCTTCCCCGTTCTGTACTGTTCCAATCGCTCCATTCCCCCGGGGGTATCCTCTTCGCCTCCCCGCCGCACCCCCCTCCCTACCACATCCCCACAACCCCCGAACCCACTGAAACCTGAGGTGCTGTTCGGGGCTGTATCCCGCGGCGTTATCGCGTCATGGCCTGACTGGGACTTCGGCAGCTGACGTGTTTCGAACGTCGTGACAGCTTCCCGGAGCTGCTCTGCATGTCCCCCCCTTGGCCCGCGGGCCCAACCCCCCCTCACACACATACATACATACATACACACTCTCTCCCCACCACCACCCCTCAACCCCCTCAACCCCCTCAACCCCGCTGTCCGCAGGTCTCCGTGGCCGCCCTCATGCTGGGGGTGGGGAGCGGCAACGTGTCCCTCAACACCATGAGGCTGGCAGGTGATAGGAGGGGAGGGGGAGAGGGGAGAGAGGAGGGGAGGGGAGGGGAGGGGAGGGGAGGAGAGAGGGGGGTAGTCCGAATAGCTTTCTCGTGCTCCTCAGCTCCTCTGGTGCAATCGCAACACAGGCGCCGCTTGAAGTACGGCCAATACCGGGCCAAGTCGTACAAACCACAGCATATGGGTTTCAATTTGCTCCTCTTCCCCACCAAACCCCGCACTGTCCAAGCTCCGAAACCGTGTTCCATGATTCGAAGGTGTGGCGTCATGGATCGCGGGCGCGCTCAGCATGGCGGTGGGCGAGTACATTTCCGTCTCGTCCCAGGTACGAACACGGCCCTGTACGTACGACATGCACGTGTTTGTTGGGAGTGTCAGTTGCTTCAGGATTTTGTTTTCCAGGCCCGCTCTCCTCCTCTCGCGTTCTGTCTTTTCATATAATTTCTCCTCACACACACGCACACACACGTCAGTGGTTTGTCTTAAACCCCCCCCCCCACACACACACAGCCCGCATACACACAATGTATATGTAAATCCCCTTACCCCTTGACCCCTCTTTTAGCGGGATACGGAGGAGGCGGACATTGAGAAGGAGCGGCAGCAGCAACGCAAGGGACCCGCGGCGCGAGCTAGGGAGCTCCAGGTGCGGTTAGTTGGAGGAGTTGGTAGTTTAAAGTGGTTGTGGTGGTTGGAATCCATTTTAGCTTCCATGGCGAGGTGTTTGGGGCATTATCGTTTGCAAGGATGTAACTTTCGCATTCCCCACCCAGCCACCCAACTACATACATACATACATACATATATTTCAACAGAGCTATGCGGGACAGAGCTATGACGTCTTGACTGCTACTGCTACTGCTACTGCCTGTCAAGCGCTGTTGGGTTTCCAATGCCGCCATTCTACGAGTCTATTTGTCGGTCCGTGTGTCTGTCCATTGCCCCCTCAGGAGCTGACGGATATTTATATCAAACGGGGTTTGGATCCGGATCTCGCTCGGAAGGTGGCCGAGCAGCTCACGGAGAAGGTGTGTGGTTGTGTGTGTGTGTATGGATGGATGCGTGTGCCGGGGGAATGGGGGGGATTGACGAACCACGACCGAGT